CCTGCTCTCAAGAGAAGATAACTCTGCAATACGCAAGGACGGAATATGGGTTACCTACAACGGCCTTATGTTAGTGAATACATCATGGCTGGCAGGATGTCGTGTGCTTTGATCCAATCTAGAGTCCATATCATGAATAGGGTTATGACCCTTTGTTCACTTTGCATCATGTTCAGGCATACCTCATATACTCTGTAATACAAAAAGTTAACTATCTTTTCAGATGTCACTGTCAAGAGTTAAAAATATTGTTTCGAGTTCCAATAAATAGACAAGTTGCGATGTTTTGCTAATTGGAGGTCACTTTGTGATGGGGATTTTGTTAACATGTTGTGTGGCCTACAATTTAGAAATTCTACAAATACGTATCTTATACGGTAGCATAGGCTCGCGTATGGAATTCGTGTCTTCTTCTTTTATATAAACAATACTATTGACTTTTGTTCGATTTTGTCCAATGTTTATTCAGAAAAAGGGCCTCAAAGATTGTGCACAAGTATTTTCCCTATTAAGTATTAGTTAGAAAGTTTTCGAATTATATTTTTTTCCTTTTTTTTTCATATAAAATGTCAGACTATTTTTTTCATATTTCCTTAATTACACAGCGCCGGCCACAATCAGTTAGGAGATGCTGTAGATGAAGCTGTCGATATATCCTGCAGTGATAACAGTACAACATTGTCTGACTGTTACGCGTCGGTAAAGTCCTGCTCCAGTGGTGTTCTCCAGTGTGGTTAGTAAAACAGACAGAATGGGTTTGGCACCCAGCTTACAGAACATATAAATAACAGTTTGATGAGTGACCAGAGTTTTACCTGGCGCCCTTTGGCTGACATAGAGAGCCGATATATGATACCGGATGACTGTTATGAAAATACAACTGGACTTTAAGTATTTGTTATTTGGTCTATACCTCTCCCTCACATGGAGTTTCCCACCTTTCCCACCTTGCCGAGTTACGTAAGTGCCCCGAGGGCGGAAACTACGGTCCAGGTACAAAGTGGCAATGTTTACCTGTATAGGGGACCGTGTCTATACGTGTTATAATTTTACATTTGTCGATTTGGGTTGTTTAGAACACACCGAAACACAATTTCTGAATTTAAGAAAAAAATGAAAGATCAGCTGACATATATAGCTAGAATATAGAAACATACCTTAAAAAACAAGTTTACATCTTCAAACAAGAAACCGTAAATATTGGTAAATCGTGTAACGTTGTCCATTCCCACAACTGTACATACCAACGCATGTTTTCAAGTTATGTTTACAATCAAATTTGATAGACGCATGCTTTCCTTTAATTGTTCTGAACTGTTTTTTATTGTGTTTAAAAAGAGTTTGATGTGTTACACAGGCGATGCTAATGTGAACTGTGGCTTCAGAGGGAACATACCTATGTGTGGATATCATGCCTCCAGCACATGGACGTTATTATCAGGTGAGTTGTGGAAAAAATAAGAAAGAAGTATATATCCACACACAGTGTTAATACACAAAAGCGGAATCCAGTTTGATAACAATGGACACCAGAAGGAACAGTAATACAAAAACTACTGCAAAATAGTCAGTGAAACCATACAAACATTCAATCTGAGGATGTCTTTCAAATGTATGATGCGACCAACATAATGGGTGACTTCGAATCCAGAAATAATCGCGTAAAATACAGCAAACATTTCTAGAGTCATGACAGTCACTGCAAATTAGTATTGGAAAAAAATGTTATCGTGACAAACAACCTATTCTTAGATTCATAGATTGAAAGCTCCATAAACAAATAATGTCTGCGCTTATTGAAGTTCCTGTATATACATGTTGAGTGCGCTGATTCTTCAGTGTGCTAGTCTGTTTTCAATTTTCGGCTAAGGGATGTTTCTGCTAAAAAAGGAGTTTTACAGTTACTCCTATTATGGCCATTGCTACATGTTCATGAACATCTGAACGGTCATTTGCACGGATATCGTTGATCCATGAAGAACTGACTTGTCGATTTATGATCAACGTTTAACGTTTATTATGTCTATAAAGCAGAACTAATATTTTGTTTATCTATTTATAGAGTCCGTCAGTATCCTCGAACTGCATACAAAAGAAGGGCAGCATGACTCCATCGTATCACCAAGCTTTACAACGCCTCAAAACGGATCTCTTTACTTCAGCTACAAGCTATCGGGTTCTGCTGTTGGTCTTCTGACCTTGACCCTTAATAACAAGGTCATGTTCCAATCAGACTACAGCCTTACAGATTCTGTCATAGAAGTGTGTATTGACCTGCCGGCTAATGAGCTTGTCAGTGCTATGTTCTCTTACGTCCGAGGGTCGGACGAGGTAACAGAGTATGTGTTCGAAGCTGTTTCCATTCACTACGTCAAAGTATCAGCCGACGATGTTTGTCCAGGTAGGTCACTAAGGTTATTTTAAGATTAGAGGTTTTCTTGGCGGAACTTTCATTCTTTCTTACAGGATTCCCTCATTCACATACATGTAACTGTGTTTTATATTCATTCGTTGTTGGAATAAAATGTGTGTAATTTTATTTCCTAGTTCCTCCTTGCTTTGCGCAAAATTTCCCTATTCCTAGAAGTTTCTGAACTCTGAACAAGTATAACAAGAAATTAATCTGGAAAAAAAACATTAAAGAAAATAAATTAGTGACATCTTTTCGAATGTTTATATTCAAAAATGAATCGATTTTGGGAATTTTATTTTTTGATGTTTTGACAGCATTCTCCAAAGACAGATCATGTGACTTTGACAGTGCAGGCTTGTGTGGTGTTCAATTTTCATCTGAATGTGATCCCTGGAGCGGAGGGTATCTCTCGAGTCCTCGACCATATGCATGGAAACCGAAGCCACAGGACGGCAGGGGTACGTGGATATCTTGAATTTTATGTTTACCTTTTACCAATCGGATGACTGCTTGCTGCTGAATCGTTTTGAGGAAATAAAATGTCTGCTTACCCTTTATTAAGCTATATACATGTAGCAGTGAACCCTTTGATACTGATAAGTTTTAAATTATTATAAGCCCATATTTTTGTCCATCCATAGATAAATTTATTAATTAACCTTTAGTAAACTTCTTGCACTTACTAAGCGGTTGATCCCAATTGTATTCCCTCAAAGATCGAAGTAAATTTTATTTAAAGGTCGGTACATGGTTATACAAGGCAACACACGCCTATGGAATGCTTTAACAACCGACTATTTAATGTACTAGATTGTATGCAAGACTTTTTGGCTCAGAACCATGTTTTCCCCTCAAAACTTTTTCCTTTCGCTTGAGCGTCTCTTTGTCCAAATCACACAGGGATAATAAATCTATTTTACCCATCGTGCTCTTAAAACGCACGTGTGTTACGGCACAATTTATCACCCGACACGATTTCTCACCCGACACTCAAGCGAAACGAAAACGCGAGTGTGCGTCAATTCCAATATTTAAAGTGTTTGTTTTTTAATATGAATGCAGGATTCTACCTGTTTGCTGATGGAAGCTATGGAGAGCAAGGAGACGAAGCCATTGCCATGTTTCCTGACGTCCATATGTCCGCTAATGACACTCTCCGCTTCCGCTATATCAGTGATAGTAAATTCAACGTCTCTGCTACTTTAAAGGTAATTAAGATCTTGTCTCAAAATATAATTGTTTTTGTTATATTAAAGAAAGAATATAAAAAGATTGATTGTTGCCCATTGAATGCCTTATACATACATACATGTAGGTATAGTGATTGGGGTTATTTCATATTAATAAAGTACACTGCGAGTATCCTTGGTTGTTTGTTGTATGGTGATATTTAAGAGTAATATGATGTATTGGGGACTGTATAGTTATTAGCAAGACTCCTATAATTATTTAAAAATGAGTGTATAATGTTGAATAAGTATCATTAAAACTGACTGTTTTACTTAATGTGCCTTTCTTAGTCTGTATGATGATGAGCGAGTATCTGTAACTGCATTGTGATGAGCAAACCTTTTAAAAAATATAATGATGAAATGACAGTTTTGTGCTGAAATGGTGAGTTAGTTTCCTTAACAGTATTGTGCTGAAATGGTGAGTGAGCGTTACCGGATGTACAAGCTTTCATAACAGTAAAAAGGAAATTGAGCTTTCGCAGTAATAAAATGGTTTCCCAAGAGCATAATCAACAGCAAGCCTTACCGAGACAGTAAATAGAGGAAAGACCATTCCGTCAAATATATTAATAAGGGTTAATTTCTCGTAGAATAACAATGATTTAGTGTCCATTAAATAATAACAATGATAATGATAATAATAAACTTTACTTAACGAGGATGACATGTTTAGCCAAAGGCCAATCTACCACATGGTCCTCAGCAGTTATGATTACCATTTTGCCCTGGGAATGAAATGGCTTGTACATTTGTATCAGATTTAAATGATTAAGAAGTCTACCCAAAAGCAAAATGATAAGCAAGCCTCCTTAAGAGTATAATGGTTAACTGTTGTGCAAGCCTTCCTTAGACTATACAATGCTGAGCCAGCCTCCTGAATGAAATATTAACAGAAGAATTTCTCTACGAGTTCGCTGTATCAAACGTGATGACGTGTCACTTATATATTTTTTGATTATTTTCTTTAAACTATTTCCAGGTTTATGCTTCAAAAGAACTACTGTTCTGGCAAGATCATCTGACAGGTGGATATTGGGAAGATATTTGTTTTCCATTTAAACCAACCATCAATACAGACATCAATGCTAATTTGACGATCATTGCCTACCATGGCAGCAGCGTGTCTATGGATGTTGGTGTCGACGCCATCAGTATCAGTTCAGAACGCTGTCCTCGTAAGCATATTTATTAGTTAACATTTGATATCTGACCGAAATAAATATTGACAGTCGACGCCAT